TACAACAACCATTGCATCGTTTCCAAAACGATTCAATGTACCAATTCGGCCAACCATATCGTCCGCACCTTACCCAACCACTGCGTTCCAACTTTGAAAACATGGACATGAAACTAAATTACGGAAGCGCCGTTGGCAACATCCCCCTTCTTATTGGGGACAGATGATTGAAATTTGTCAAATACGTCGGGACCCTCGCAACAAATACATTTTCCGCATGCAATTCGCAAAGACCACAAACATATCAACAAAATTTTTGTAGACCTCGGAGGCATGTTAATGCGACAGGATGTGGAACCGATGGACGTTTTGATCAGGGTGGGCATTGATTTTTTTTTCATTTCTTGTAAACTTTAATATATTTTAATAATATTTTTAATTATTTCTTTTTTTTTATTTATTTTTTTGCAATTTTTAACCTATTTTCAATTCATTTTTCTAATAAAAAAATTAATTTAGGGAAGATGCGCCATTTTATTTGGCACATGCGCTCCAAATTATAGCAAGGAAGGTGTAGACGCCATTTGATTTAACTACACCCATGTGTATGCTCCAAATCAAATGGCACATGAGCTTTAAAATGGTGTATATACTCCAATTGAAATGACGCCCGCATGTTTTGTTTTACTTTGAAAAATAAATTGGAATACATATTATTTTAGTATTTAAACTGAATAAAGAAGTTATTTAAAAAAAAAAATCCTTCTTTCAAGTAAATGTTTTATGGTGCACTTTCTCTGCAAGAGGTTTCTTCTTGCTACCCTCTATTTGTACTACCTACTGTCACCATCTATGTCACAATCTTCTCTTCTACCCAATTCTTTTTATCCTCACTTCAAATCTATCTGTTACAACGATTAAAAAGAAAGAAAAAAAAACTGTCCCTTTGTCAGAGTTTGGTTTGAGTTGGAGTTCCACTTTAGTGTTCATTCTTTTCTGAGCTAAATTTCAAGAAAATATGTCCAAAATTCCAAACTGAAAGCTCATCTTGTATGCTTGTACGAGAGCTCTCTTCTCGATGCTGTTAGTCAAATTTGACAAAAAGGAGCAATTTGAGCACAACTTTTGAACCCAATTCATCAAATTAAAAATTCCTTCAACTATCAAATTTACAGTCGCAAACCTATAAAAACTACATATTTTCTCATGCCTTAATATACAAAAAATGCCAATTTTTAAAATAGGTAACATAATCAACCTAAGAACAAGAAAACGAAAGTTGACCATTAATAAGTGAGCGAAATTGAAAATCATTTCGACTTGTACCAAACAGAAGTGTGCAGTGTGAGTAGCTGAAAACATTGTGAACTAGAAAGAAGGGTGACATGCATTTTATGGTGCTGGTGGGGCTGTGTAGATAAAATCTGTTGAAACTCTAAACCCAAATGTGCACACATGAATCATTTGTGCATAATAGAAATCGCTCTATATAGATTGTTAGTTGAAGAGAGAATAAAAAAGAAACGAAACATGAAAAGTAAATTGATCCTAGTCTTATTTGAAATGACACATTATTTGAAATAATACAAGTTGCATAACTGTTTCTGCTATGAGACAGCAAAATTTTGTTCTCTTCAGTCACCGTATCGTGTCTAGTAATAAACATTCTGAGAGCAGAAATTTGAGATTATGTTTTGCAAGTATGGATGGAATCATGGATTAAACAAATGATAAAACTAGTGTAACTCTATTACAGTGTCCCTTATTTTACTAATGGCAAGCAATTGAATTTCAACACACCTTTCATCTCCAAGATTACATTTCACTATCTAAAGTCGTCCAAAAACTACAATTGTTGACAATGATAACACATAATAAAATCAAATAAATCAAACGTTCAGTGATTGGAATATCAACTCTTTTCTTGCTAGCTAGAAGTGTACATGTTGGCTTGAGACAAAACCTTTTTAGACTAAAACTTAAAAACAAAACAGAAGTTGTTTGTATACATTTTGTCACTATTGACAATCGTAGTCACAATTGATGGGAAGAGAATTTACATCTCCCTTTGAAGTCTGGATCTACGCACAAGGTAAATACGCCCATAAACCCATTGTCTGCCAAATCTTGAAGTTGATTGCTGCATATGATAACATCATGTGTCATGCAAAAGAGAAAAACATTTGCACCTCTTGCTTTACTACGTATGTTTCACGTTCAACTCTATGTATACTCAATAATATGTGAAATCAAATAGCAGACTAATTTTATGAACTGCTTCTTGTAAGAAGTAAAAGCAATATATATGTTATTACCTCGACCTCAGTGCGAAATTCCAATAAGCATTCACACACATGGCACTTTGCTCTATGGGGTGAGTTAGAGTTGTCTGTTTTTACAAACGCAAATACCTGGAAAATAATCAAACTCATTGAGACACTTTGAAAGAGCTTATGAAAATAAATAGTCTATGAGATGTCCCTTAGTTGTTTTTAGCTTATTTCCTTAAGTATCTCCAAATAGCTAATTGTCATAAATTAATTTTAGATTATTCTATAAAGTTCAATCTCATTCCAATTTCAATAGAACAAACATCTTATATATATGCTCACAATAAGATAATTGCTTATTGAATAAGTGTTTGATTAAATTGTGTAACCAAACAAAATCATTAGTCAAAGACACCAAGCAATGGTTGAGGGGCAATGTCTAACCTCTTCTGCACAATTAGGACACGAACCCTTTAGTGCTGCCAAGTCATTCCTCCACAAGCCTTGAAGTACTTTAACTGTGAAAAAAGGAACTTAAATATCATACAAATATAGAAGCACATCAACGTTGAAATGAACTAATCAAAACTTTTGTTGTTCCAAAAGTCTGTGTTGAGGATTTTATCAATTGAAGTAAAGAAAGGTGTTTAGCAGGAAAAGAATTCTTACCTGAAGCTGAAGCAACTGGATATCCTATGACAAAACCGAGTGCCGTGAAGATAATGGTATTCATCATGAAAAGAAACCCTAGTTCTGATCCTTGGCTACCATATGATAATCCTGAGTTCAATGCATTTTGATGAGCCAAGCTGATGGTGTAAAACATTGGTCCAAAACATGCTGAACTACCAAATGCAAAAAATAGGGTCCATGTACTTGCCAACGTAAAAACCATAGATAGATCTTCCTGCCCTACATCCACATCATTCAATATTAAGGTGAAGAAACCAAGAATAGATAAAGAAGAGAAGGAAAAAAGGAGTAGAGAAACCTTAACAACCAGATGAATATAATACCAATATGTCACAAAACAGGTAAAAACTAGAGATATTCAACAGAAATAGAACATGTCACAACATGAAAATAGCACCTTCTCAAAAACAAAAATCAGAAACATGAATTTTATATAACTATCAGAATTTGTTATTGAACCTAACTCAATCGGACAAAATCCATTTCAAAATGAGCGATACCTAATACCTATTCTTCATAAACTCTTTCCAGGTCTTATTTATATAATCAATGCAACATTTGAATTTTTCTCAATAATAACTTTATCAGCCACATCAAATGCGAATAAGGAGTAACTCAACATCATTATTTCAAATTCACATTCTTAACATTATTAAGAGCATCATGCAACCGCAACGTCTAAAAGTATCATCAACAACTGAAATTGCTGAATTTTCATGAATATTATGATGTTATTAATCTAAACTTGTGAAGAAAATTACCTCAGCATCAGCATAAGTTGACTGCCTTCTGATACTGCATCGAGGATACTTCACAACTGATTTTGAACCATACCACTTAAGCTTCAACTGTTTCCATAATATGAGCAAGAATTCATAATAGTTAAGAAGCATATATATAAGTGTTGAATTGGGGAAGAAAGATATACCTCAACTCTATCAAACATGTCATCAACAATCAAAGGCTCTCCTCTGTAATATGCATCTCTTGCCTATTACCAAAAGCACCATGTTAAAAACACCTTAAAATCAGAAGCAGAGTTATAGAAAAAGTGAAGACTGAAATTACTTGAGAATAAAGAGCTTCAAGGGTCTCTTTGGTGGCGGTTTGAAGAGGACCGACGTATATACAAGATGGACCATGAGGACGGTCGTCGCAGGTTGCAGAGATCCGAAGAGAGAATGAAGAAGAAGAAGAAACGGTGCGATTGCTTCTGATTTTGGATAATTGCAGCACCGTCCATCCTCCCAAAGCGGTGTTGCTGCTCGTGCTTGCCAACATATTCATCCCAATTTTGGACCTTCTTTCTTCTTTCTGATTTTGATGATATATAAGAAACTAACAAATTTTGTGTTACAACTTTTTCTTCTTGTAATTTTCTAAGTATTAATAGACAGTACTTTTTATATTTTACTACCTAAATGTTATGAGATTTCTTAAAGGCTATAGAAACATAGCTTGTGTAAGCCACATTACAATGTGAATTTTGAATATAAAAAAGAAATACCAACCACACAAATATATTAAAGATACAAATATGGGGAAGAGTTTAAACCACACACATATAGATATTAATCTCATTGGTCCTAACTTTGGAGTTTAAATTTCTTTGGATTGAAACAAAACCTTTCATAGAGAATACTGACAAAATATTTGTCGTAATAAATAATAGTATAACGTGTGAAATTAATATTTCATGAAAAATTGGAAAAGCGAATTAATGCGTTTGCCGGGAGTCGAACCCGGGTCTATTGCTTGGAAGGCAATTATCCTAACCGTTGGACTACAAACGCTTGTTGAAATAATCTTTCACATACTAATTTAGAACTATACATTTTCTGAAGCAAGTAAAAACGAGAGCTAAAAAAAAAAAAAAATTCAGCCACTTCAACGTTGCGTTGTATGTATCAGAAAGAAACAAATTGGAGTATCCCTAAACTCAACTTGCCGGAAAACGCCGTCGAATCGTCGTCGACCACTAGAAACAGTGAGAAACTCCGTCATCTTTTCCATTTTTTTTAATTTACTTTATCTGATGCGATTCTGCTATTGTATTTTCCTTTGAATTGATATGATCTGTTCCAGTTTCAGATTAGAATGGATGAGCAGCATCGGAATCAGAAAAACAAATACAGTATAATCGTTCCTACGTATAATGAACGACTCAACATCAGTCTCATTCTTTACCTTATATTCAAACACCTTTCGTAATTTCTACATCTCTTCAATCTTTTTCTTCTTCTATGTTACTGTGGATATAATTGATAAGCCTATGGATAATTTACCTTTTGGAAATATATGCATGTACCTATGAATCCTATGTGTATACTGCAAACAATTTGTAATCACCAAAAAAATTGTTATCACAACCTTTTCAACCCTAATTTAGTGTAGAGTGCAAATCTTATATATGTCAATCATATTTATGAAACAAATAGCGGTTTGCTCAAATTCCGCATTGCTACAGCAGGTTTTTTTTTTATAACATTTTGCATTAAATAGCATACAGAACAATAATGACTTGTTTGAAGTCTGTTATGCTATAGCACTATTTTACAACTCTGACAAATCTTCTTTCCATTGCTCATATAGAGATGTTGATTTTGAAGTTATTGTTGTCGACGATGGAAGTCCTGATGGTACTCAGGAGGTTGTAAAACAACTGCAGCAGGTTTATGGAGAAGATCGGATTGTAAGCATTGGCATTTACAATTTGATTTTCATGTGTAAATTAACGACTAGTAGTTTGTGGTCTATTATAGTTTTTGAGATATATCTCGCTCCTTTTGTATCATTTAGAGTAACCATGCTAATTCTTCTGGTTATAGTTGTTGAGAGCCAGACCTAGGAAGATGGGTTTAGGTATGTATCTGATACTTTTACTAATTGATCTTTGATAAAAACTGGCATTTGATGTGATTAATTTGCAGGAACGGCTTATATTCATGGCATGAAGCATGCGTCTGGAAACTTTGTTGTCATTATGGATGCTGATCTATCACATCATGTAAGTTATTCAGCTCACATGTTGACATCACAATACGTTGCAGTTATGGATAAACGTTGAATTCGAAAAGGAAGAAAAAATTAACAAGACTTGGATGAACTTTGAGATTTTTAGTTGAGAATTTGTAAGTTGCAGGATTGTATTTTTATTTCATTAATCTTTTTTCTGACCTATTTAGTTTTTCTGCAGCCAAAATATTTGCCAGGCTTCATTAGGTAAGAAAAGCTTTCAATTGTGTCTTTGTTTTATTGTTATTTGCAACATCTTAACTCTTCCTATTGTTTTATCAGAAAGCAGTTGGAAACTGGTGCTGATATAGTTACAGGGACTCGTTATGTTAAAGGCGGTGGTGTGCATGGATGGAATCTTATGCGGAAACTGACAAGCAGAGGAGCTAATGTTCTTGCACAAACACTTTTATGGCCCAGTGTCTCAGATTTGACAGGGTCTTTTCGGTATAGAGCTCAATAATGGATATTAAACAGTTTGGATAGCATTGTTATTCCCATGTTTACTGGTTTGAGATTGATGTATTGTTGTTCTTTGTAGACTTTATAGGAAATCAGCACTTGAAGACATCATTAGTTGCTGCGTTAGTAAGGGATATGTCTTTCAAATGGAGATGATAGTACGGGCATCCAGAAAAGGGTACCATATTGAAGAGGTGCAATTGCTTAATTCGTGAAATTATGGTTATTCGTTATGGAACTTGGTTGTTATGTTGACTTCATAGCATATGAACTTGGTTGTGGCATTGATCATCACTATACGTGCCTTCATTTATACTAGTACATATTTGATATATCTGGTGTATTTTTCTCTGTTTTTATTTATTTATAATGTGTACTACCTTTTATTCATAACACTTGTAAATTCAACGATGGAACACCATTTTTAATACTGTATGAGTTATTATTGGCTACAGCTTACAAATGTCTGCTGGTGGAATCTAGAAATGTTTTGCCAATGCATATACACCCTAATCCCGTGACTTCGGTTGACCTGGGAAATTGCCTGAGTCAATTGTTATTGATCATGTGTATTTGTTGTGTCTGTTGATGCAATCAACATGTATTTCATGCGGACATTCTAGTATCCATGTGTTGAATATAAGCTATAGCTGTAGCTGTGGCTTTGCTTTCTCACCATTTTTTCAAACTACTGACTTTGTCGCTGATAAATTCAGTTTTGTATGACAAATTACTAATCTGAAGGAGGCATTTGATATTAACGTTGCCAATTTGAATGATAGTCATACTCATACTATCCTGTGCTTTGCAGACCATCTGAAACTGCAAAACATAAAAATTATTCCAGAATTTTCCTGGTTCCTTTTTAATTCTCTTGTTCTGTCTTTCTCTTTTTGAAGCGTTTGATTGCTCTCTAAGTCCTCATGTTCAATGATAGTCATACTCATACTATCCTGTGCTTTGCAGACCGCCTGAAGCAATAATTGCGAAACATGAAAATTATTCCAGGATTTTCCTGGTTCCTTCTAATTCTCTTGTTCTATCTTTCTCTATTTGAAGCATTTGATTGTTCTCTAAGTCTTCATATTCAAATCTATTTATGCATATATTTCAGGACAGGGTTTGAATGCTTGATGGTTTTGCTTTTCTTTTTCTTATTGTGTTTGCTACATCTTCATTTCCTTCTCAAATACTTGTCGAGGAGATGACATAGAGTTCTTAATGAAATTACCCTGTTCAAGCTTATCACCATGTTCATTATTCACTTCGTAACTTACCTTAATTTCACATGTGTGCAGGTTCCGATCACGTTTGTTGATAGAGTATACGGAAGTTCAAAGCTTGGTGGATCGGAGATCGTTGAATACTTAAAAGGCCTAGTATATCTTCTAATGACAACATAAAAAGATAAATGATAACAACTCGTGTATGTCTTTCAGTTTGGCAAAAACTCGAGAGATATTTTAGTTCAATATACATGTTTGGTTGCTAGAATCTTCCTAGCTTGTATTTTTGAGTTTTGTAGGAAGCATCTTATTGAATAACCTGAGTTTATAATTCTTGGAAAATATTGATGATTAATTTATTTTGGTTTAGCCGAAAGTGTGAGTTGATCCATTTTCTGGTTTTCCCTTTCTGCCACCAACCGATAATATGTGACTCGTCCTAAAAAGGAAACACAACTTCTCAGTCTATAAGATTTCTTTAACAAGTTAAATTTTATACCATAGGCAGGTCATTGAGAAGCTGGGTTTTGTAACTTTAAGTACTGACAAGGTTCTGTGAATTGTGTTACACCCATGAACAAAGCTAAAACTGTTTATTAAATACTACATAGTAATAAAAACATTGCTGGAATGAATGTTTATTTTTTATATTTGATGACAATGAACGTTTTATGATGCAAAAAATATAAAAGAAAAACTATATCGTCATTCAAATTGACTCGATCATTTTTAAATTTTTGTTTCCTTTGTAGGAAACAACAGCATAATCAGCTGGAGAAAGAAAACCTTATTACTCTAATCTTGTGCAACTATTAGAGTACAAGCCTGCAACTCCAAAACAATTTATCTATTTAGAAAAAAAAAACTTTAAGATAACTTAAAAATCAGTTAGTTTTAATTACCCTATAATTTTTCATATAAAATATAAATATATTTTTTAAGTTTTTCAACTATCCGTATTAAATATTTTAGAATTAAATATATAATATATTAAAAATTATAACATTAAACAGTAAAAAATAATTAATATTGACAATAGTGAATAAAATTTGAAGGTTTTTTTGTTGTTGTAAATGTAATAGTGACTTAAAAAAAGTACTTTATTTTTGTTATATAATAGTGATAAATTATTCATTTATTACTTTATAAAGAAGGCTTACAAAAAAAATTAGAAATGGTGTGTGTTAAGTTAATTAGGTGGCGTGGGAAGGTAAACAATTCCTGTCAAAACCAAACACACCTTACAACAAACAAACAACGTTAAACACGAGACATGCAAAAACAAACCAATACCTAACTTTGCTGGGTCTTGTTTCCTCTTAACTTATTCAAACCCGTTATCAAATCTATATGCTTGGAGAGGAAAATTCATTTTCAGTCATTTTTACCAAAATGTGTTAGAAACCTGAAATCTCTGTCAAAAAGGGTAAAAGGGTCATCATAATGGGAGAAGGTAGGAACCCACAAGGTGGTACCGTTGAGCTTAACGTTCATTCTTATCGTGACGATTCCGCCGTCCATAATGGTCATGGACGTGGGTCTCAACCGTCTAATCCTCCCGTCATTCATGATCGTGATTTCAGGCTCTTTGATCGATGGTTCCCATGGTTGGTTCCAACCTTTGTGTTTGCTAATATTGTTATCTTCATTGTTACCATGTATGTTAATGATTGTCCTAAGAATTCCTTTAATGGTTCCTGTGTTGCTTCTTTCCTTGGAAGATTCTCCTTTCAACCCCTCAAAGAAAACCCTCTCTTTGGTCCTTCTGCCACTACGTGAGTTTTTCATCTCATTCTACCTGATATAATCTCTCTAGCACTGACACTTCAGATTGCGACTATGTTTAGTGTAATGCAACACCGACACCGATGATTACTTTCAATCAATTAGCTTTTTGAAATTATTAGGTTTGTGGTGTTTGTGTTAATGCTTCATTGAAAATGACACATTAAGTCATGTATAATTGAAATTTCAGAAATTTCTATAATTGAGAGCTTTTGATGGAAATGATGTTTTTGCAATATAATGGATAGTACCAAAGTTTCTTACAGGTAGATATGTCTAATTTGGAGATCTTTGTAATGTGATTCTGAAAAATATTTATTTTACATTTTCAGATTAGGGAAGATGGGTGCTCTAGTAGTAGATAAAGTGGTTCATGGACACGAAGGTTGGCGCCTTCTCTCTTGTATATGGTTGCATGGTGGAGCAATACATGTACTTGCCAACATGTTGAGTCTTGTTTTTATTGGAGTTCGGCTTGAACAAGAATTTGGATTTGGTATGGTTCTGGTAATTATCCTTGTATTGTTCAAGCATATATTATCATTATATTTTTAGTGACCAACAACAATGTATATAGATTCATTGTTTGTTACATATATGTTATGGAAGAAGCTTCATTTTAGTCCATTCTCAGTTGCAGATTGTAATTTCTACATTGCATGTTTTTTCACAGTTAGAATTGGGATTCTGTATGTGATATCTGGTTTTGGAGGGAGTTTACTGTCTGCTCTATTCATACAGTCGGGTATCTCAGTTGGCGCTTCTGGTGCATTATTTGGCTTACTTGGAGGAATGCTCTCGGAGATTTTGATAAATTGGACAATATATGCCAATAAGGTGAAAGAACCATTACATGTGTATATACAATTCGATTTCCTAGTGCTTCCTGATAAATAATATTATCTGTCTTTGCGTCGCAGTCGTTTAGTTTATTTCCATTTTGTGTGTGTTGTTTTTGTAGTTGGCTGCGTTGTTAACTCTAATAGTCATTGTCCTAATCAATTTGGCTGTTGGAATCCTTCCACATGTGGACAATTTCGCTCATCTTGGAGGATTCGGTTCCGGGTTTCTTCTTGGATTTATCCTTCTTATTCGTCCACAGTTTAAATGGATTAGCCAGAACAGATCTCCCTCTGGATTTGCACCTTCTGTAAAACATAAACACAAATCTTATCAGTATGCACTTTGGATTTTGTCTTTCGTAATACTCGCTGCAGCGTATGTTCTCTTTGGTTTTTCTTTCTTTCTTTTTTGTATATCCATTTTTATTTTCTTATCGATATAATTGCATTGATATCAATGAGACCGTATATATGTAGAATTAGAACTTTGATACTCTTTGTTGCAAAAGAATTGCTCGTAGAGATTGAATTAATGTTGTTGCTTATAAAGTACTACCGTTTAATTTTGACAGATTGATTGCTGGGATTGTTTTGCTCTTTGAAGGTGTTAACTTGAATGAACATTGCTCATGGTGTCATTATTTAAGCTGTGTTCCAACCTCAAAATGGAGTTGTCAAGAACAAAAGATTTATTGTCAGGTGAGTACTCATTTCTTGTGTATCTTCCATCAACTGATTCAATTATATTTCCTAGTTTCTAAAGCTATAAGCTGGTAGAGTTAATTTGGTGACTTGTATGCGAAGAAACTATCCTATTTTGTTGTCATTTACGTAAACTGTTTTTGATAAAATATTTGATACAATATTCTACACAGACGGATGAAATGGGAAATCAACTTAACATCACATGCATGAGCACTGGGAGAAGTTACATTTATCCTCTGTCAAGCACTAGCTCTTCTGATATGCAACAACTTTGTACGCGACTTTGCCGGGGATAGATAGATAGATACATAAATACACATGCAACATTTCTTGAATGGAAAACATTGAACAACTTGTGTATATGATTCATACTTGGTAGTGCAGAGAAATTCTTTCTTCTCGTGATTGTTATGTCAGCCATCATGAGTATATATTATTTTCACTGATATTTTCTATATCCTTAGCATGAAATGCTGTGTGCTATTATTATTCTTGTGTAAAAGAGAGCAGAGGAATGGAAGTTGTATTTGGTTAAAGCAGTAAAAAAAAATCTCAAAAGATGTAAATACTGTCAACAAGATTATTAAAGATGTGTTATTCTAAAAAGTATTATATTTTAGGTTTATATACTTTTTTTCTATTTATTTTATTCAATATTTGTTTTAGTCGTTTATCTTTGTTTAACTCTTATGTTTCTTAAATGTTAGACATTAGTTCTTCTGAATATTTAACAAGTTTTCCCATTATGTAGAAAACTTTGCAGATAATACTAATTCGCTCACAACTTTTTTTACAAATAACTTATGCTCTTATTTGATCATTATTTACCATTTTTACGTTTCTACCACAATGAACAGCATATTTCAACAATGTCTTCTTTAAAACCTCTTTTCTTTCAAAACATATGCCAAATTTTTGTATATAATAAATTATATTTTTAAACAACTTAAAACATGACACTTGAGACTTTGATGTTTAAAGTTGGATAATAGAAGGACTTAGCTTTGTTATACATTCAAAAGGTAAATGTACAGAACAAAGAATAAATAAATAAAAGATAATAAAATTTAAAAAAAAAAGCCTATAGTCTAACACTATCGAGTGGTCTCCATTCACATTCACTTTCAAGAAAGGCATAGCATTGACTTGAATATTTGAATATTAATTTTGTAGATATTTCATTCTTAATTTTATAGATATTTTATTCTCTAATGACCCGTGACTTCTACCACCAACCTAGAAGCTCTTCTAAAGCTCTTTTAAAGTGGTTATCTTTAACCTATCATTTAATTTCGGTTACACGACTTCTACCATCATACTAGAAGCCCTTTTAAGGTGGTTATCTTTAATCTATCATTTATTTTCGGTTACACTACACAATAGAAGCCCCCCTTCTAAGGTGGTTATCTTTAATCTATCATTTATTTTCAGTTACACTACGCAATAGTGGCGCCGTGTGAGAATTTAATATGAGAAAATAAACATTCATGTAAAGGAAAGTCACATAAGTCATATTGGTTACATAACCTTTTGTTGGTTCTAGGATAAAAAACTTGTTAATATGAAAAAAGACTTGCATCGCGATACATTCTCTGTTCTATGTAATCTAGTATACACAAGTGACATTCCCGACATTTTTCCATCAACTCAGGGATACCAAGAAGCATCATTGGGAAATTCAAGACTCAATTGTGCATGCCTCACCATTTATGTGTCATTATTAATAGATACAAACAACTACCGTGAGTACGACATCATGATTGTTCCTCTAACCACTACCTAATTTCATCATTAGTATGATTATGACTGAAAAAAGCCATGTGACACTTGGCATAAGCCCGAGCTTTCCGCTCATCTCTAGGATTTTTTGTATACATTTGAATTTCAAGAAAAGAAAACCCTCATGTCCAACCTAGTGGGTGCATGCTCTATAATTTCAACAATGTTTACAGCTGAGCTTTTCACTTACAATGGTGACACCTCTCTATTTATCATATTTGGATTTATTACATTCTCTTTGGTCTGAGACGATGGATCACTTATTTTGACATAGTTACTTAATTAATGAATGGAATATTTGGGCTTCCAATGTTGGTCATAACTCAAAAAGCTAATGTAAATCAAATAAAGCAAATGGTAAGAAGTAAGTACCTTGAATATTCTTGCAAATTCTGAAAAACAAAGAAAGAGCAATGAAAGCATTGAATGCATGATATGTTGTGTGTTTATTTACTCTTGCATTCTCTACACCGTTGTATATTAAAGTTTATTTCTCATCCATTTTGCTTAAATGATGTCCACCATGGATATTTTGCAGATAATCAAGAGTAAAGTTGTTGTTTTGTGTGGAAGGTGGTCCGTTGCAGCTATTCTTCGTTTTATTTATCGTATATCGTAATTTAGTGGTTTTAGTACTCTGATCTTGTAACATCGGAAACTGGGTGTTTGTTGTGTTTTGAGTTAATGCTTGTTCTGGACTGGGCCAAAAGTTGCCCCATTATCGGGCACAACCCAATCCATCTCTCCGTCAGGGAGGGCCTAATGAGGGTTCAATTCATCACTTCACACGGGAAGCGCTTACGAGTCTCCCCCACGGACTCCACGTGCCCTCCACGCAGGAACACGTCATCAGACAACTACCCGCATTCGAATGAACAAGTCACCTATCTTCCAAAGATCACGGGGCAGTTAACCCAGGGAGAAGACCACGTGCTGATCTTCCCTACGCCACGTAAACCCTGGCAGTTACTCGTATTGGACCTAGTGATCCAATCAATGTAGAGTAATCGTTGGTCCAACGCTGGGGGCACATTATAAATACCTTCTTTCACTAGAGGGTCAGGTATTCTATTCTCTCACCTCCTTTTCTGTACTTGCCTTCTCTCTCTTGTTGAAACTGACTTTAGCATTAGAGTGCCTTGCAGGTACACCCCCTCCTCTTCTCCACCACCGGCGAACTAAAGAGCTCACGATATTTTGCTGGCCGCTGATCCTTTTTTGATCCGGTAAGATCAGTGGCGCCGTCTGTGAGAATCTTGCTTCCCTGTTCTTTCTTCCAAAAAAATTCAAGAACTAAAGCATACTTTAATCTCCGTTGATCATGGTCAGTCTACACACTGACGACAACATCCATGAAACTTCCTTTACCACTTTCACCAACAGCGACGATCACGACCCCAACGTGACCGTTCACCTCGAGGAAGGCGACACCAGGGACGGGCGCACCACCTCTCCCTCCCACGACGACGCGACTTTCAACGCCGCCCGACGCTTCGACAGCCCGACTATCATCCAACCAATCCCTGTGTCGCTCAACGTCAACCCGACCATGGTGGCTCTGTTTTCGGCAATAAATTAGACGAACTTGATGATCTTTCAGTAGAACGAGCGGATTGGGATGCTGGAAAAGAAGCGACAATCACGCTCTCCCCCGCAGAGACATCGTCGCCCAGTTTCTCACAGCCCATCACCATGGTGACGAGGAACCCGTCCTTCCCCTTCCATGCGGAGGCTATAACATGATGAGTCTCAGAGACTCTGCAAAGACCTGGGCATCGTCTGCGAGTTGAAAGGCATCAGCCTATGACTGCCTAGAAACGTGAACGCTCTCCTGCCTGGAAAGAGAAATGCTCCCCGGCTCCTAAGAGAAACAGAGTTGACGGTTATGTGGAGATACCAAAGAGCTGACCAAAGAGTTCAACCCACCGAGGCAAAAGTCCTTGGGACGACGGATCCCCGTCACAGTCAGCGGTTAAAAGCGATGAAGATGACCCTCGTACTCCTATGTCCAAGGCCATCATGGAAACGCGTCTGCCCGTCGGGATGGAGAAGTCCCCCACCCTGGATACCTACGATGGTACAACTGACCCGAACGACCATATTGAAAGCATCGATGTGATGCTCGACTACCGAAACTTTCGGGGATCCATAAAGTGTAGGCTCTTCCCTACAACACTGAGGAAGGGTGCGATGGCATGGTATAAGAGCCTCGAGCCTGAATTCGTCACCTCTTGGAAAGAGCTCAAGAGGCAGTTCTCCAGGCACTTCACCACTTCCCGGCGACACCCAAAGACAAAAACATCCTTGGAAGCTATCATTCAGGGAAAAGAAGAATCACTCTGGGACAACATAGAGACATTTAATCGAGAGGCTGTCGAAGTGTCTACCTCAGAAAACATGAAGAGATATCTGATCGAGCAAGGATTGCAAACTCGTAGTGATTTCGCCAAGGTCGTCGACATCGAAAGGCCCGAATCGCTAGACCAACTCCTCCACAAGGCCCAGGCCTACATCCAATACGAGGAGAAGGAGGCCGCTAAAAGTTCCCCCGACTCACGAAACTAGGAGAATTCCAAAGGCTCTAGGCACGAAAATTATGCCGCTTCCCGACGCGGAGATAAGAGAAGAGAAGATCGGCCTCAAGACTCCCAGGAGCAAAGGGGGCCAACTGGCCACTTCACCGAGTACACGCTACTCACTGCTCCCCACAAGCGCATTCTGGCCGAGTGTATCAACTCGGAGTTCTAAAGAGGTGGTGTCCGCTTCCCGAAGTTGGCACCCCCTAAGCCCAACGTCGACAAGTCCAAGTAATGTCGGTTCTACAAGAGTCATGGACACGTCACGGAGGATTGCATCCACCTCAAGGATACCATTGAAATCTTAATCAAGGAAGGACACCTGAAATAATACACTCGAAGGAATGAGTTTCCTCGACAAGAAACCCGCGAGGAAAAGAAGTTCGAGGAGGTTTCGCCTCCCTCCGAGGAAACTGGGCTATAGGTCGCCCTGTGCATCTTTTGTCCTGAGGACTTCTACTCCCCCTTCCTACGAGATTGAAACACGGTTGTCCGCCTGTAGCCCTTGCGAGAAATTCCCAGACGCGATGGTCATATCCGACAGGGGTCCCAACAAGCTTTCAGTAGGGTCGGTCAAAAGGAAGTTTAAGGAGCTGATCGAAAAGAGTTCAGAGTAGAGCGCCATCCTCGATAGGTTCAAGGGTAACTCGAACCTGGTCACCTTCTACCTCGAGGAGCTACCTGGTGGCACCCCTAATTCTAGTATCCCCCTGCTGATCAGGGCCCAGATGGAAAACTTTGACGTCCGCCGCATTCTCGTCGACCAAGGAAGCTCGGTGGACATAATATACGCCCACCTGTTCACCACTCTCCAGTTCGACAAAAGCCATCTGACATCATATGTCGGCTCTGACTTGCAGGGCTTCAATGGTTCCACCACGCGGCCGTGGGGCTACGTAGAGCTGCTTGTCACCTTCATATCTGAAGAGACTGCAAGACAG